TTGTAGGTAAGAAACTAGCTTAGTTATTTTAAGAAAAAAATTGTATTTTAATTTTTATGAGAAATGCTTTTTTCAATTAAAACTAAAATATCAGCATTATGTCTTCTTATTCGTAACTTATTTTTAATGTTTTCTTTTGTTTGTTAAATGTTTTATAATACTGTAAAACTATTAATTGACATCTATGAAATCAAACTATTGTCCTTTAATATGCTTATTTTATTCATTTTTGATGCATAATTCATATCTAAATAAAAGTGAATAATTATGAATTATCCAGAATTAATACCTTGAGTAACGAAAGAATAAATTTTAAAAAAATTATATATTTTAATTCTAGCACATTTCTATTGGATTGTAAATATTTTTTTTAATTATTTAATTGTTGGAAATTATTTGTTTGTCACCGCAGTGCGGGTATGAAAGTGCCGCAGGAAAAATGTAAAAGAAGTTTCTCAAAAAATTCTCATTGTCAAGCAACAATATATATAAAAGTAAAGTTGAACAAAAAATCAACAAGGGAATCAGATTCCTTTATAAAAATTAGTTTAATGGGTGTAGAAACATTTCATAATATTCACTTAGATACAGGTAGTTCAAAAAGTAATAGATGCATTCTTGAAAAATATGCAAAGGATCTATTTAGAAACATAAAGGGGGGGAAATTTTTTTAGAAGACGCATACCGAACTCTGTCCTCCAAACTCAGTCGTTGGAGTGGAGTAGGAATCAACTTCAATGTCATTTTTTAATTTCAGATTTGGATTTTCCTCAAAAAAAAGTACCCATATGGATGGTGTTTCCAGTAGAAATGTAAATAATAACAGTCTCGAGCTGTATGCCTGCTCTAGTTCCGGTTAAAAAGTTTGCAGCTGCTAACTACATGTTATTCTGCGAGGCGATATTTTCAAACGGATTATTTTGTTTTCAATAAAAAAAATAAATTAGATAATTTCTGAGCTCAAATCTGCCGTATTCTATAAAATATTAATGTTATTATGTAATTCTGTTGAGTTTGAAGTGAAAATTTGTTTTAGTTATTTAGGGATACATTGCTTAAAAAGGTGACATGGTTGCTAGATTTTGAATAACTCGCTTTTTTGGCAGTCTTGATATGGCCTCTTTCCTTAAGTTTATTACTGTTTGTTCTTGTTGCAAGCTGTGCACCATCTCACTTTAGTGTTAACACTTTTAGCATTGTAAACACAAGTATTGTTAGCATTGTAAATACAAGTAATAAGTAATCAAATACATTGTTTGCAAGAATCTCAAAACACAATGATGCCAAATGGTTTTAAAATACAACGGAAACAGTAACCCGGAAATTTAGGCGGTACCGATCTCGCAGCGTTCCCTAGTGTAGAAAACACCATCCATTAGGTATACAGGTTTTGGCACTCAGTAATCTCAAAATGAAGCTCAAATTGTTTAAAATGGAGATATCTTGAGTCATATGTCAGATCAAATATCGAAAACAGACGAGGGTGATTTTTATAAAATCTATTTTGTGACAAATTTGGCCCCGCTCCACCTCTTGAGACAGGGGGCGACCAACACCACCCAACACCCCTATCTCGGTGGTGTTGGGGCGACACCCAAATCGAGTTTTGTAAAAACACAGCACCAAAGTTATTCGAATCTATCAAATGAGTTCACTTAATTTATTTCAAATTTTTGATTGAATTTAATCACTTGTTAATTCTAATCAGTCTGCTTTCAAAGATTATAATCGAATTACACTGCTGAGTTGTGTCTCCAACTTCAACCTCAAATCTCGTGCGCAATTCCCCCCCCCCCTGCTATATCGACTCAAAAGAAAAGTTCAAGGAATATTTCAATAATGATCTGAGTATTATTCAATCCTGTAAATATCATGAAGGTATCTTGCAGTTGATAGATGAATTTACAGATTATTCAATCCTGTAAATATCATGAAGGTGTTTTGCAGTTGAAAGATGAATTTACAGAAGAAGACATGGCTAATAACTGAATTAACCCCTTCTTATAGAACTGTTCAGTATTGGTACGATCAATGGCGGCTTCTGAATCTTGGTCCAAGACCCGGTCAAGGTGTAGTTGAAGTCCTCTTTTTAAATACAAAATTTTCCTTCATGCCGTAAATGTTGATTTTGTTTAAATATTGCAGAATTTAACTTTCTATATTAAAATTAAACTATATATTAAATAAAAAATACAACTAGCACCAATCAGGGATGAAAGTTTATATATTTTATGACAAAAAAGAGAATAAACTGGTAAGAAAATCATTTTATATCTGTTTATGTTTAGCAGAAGTAAATATTCATTTCTACTAAGATTTCAACAGTTATAATAAATATGTAGAACTGTTTCTTCTTAGAGAAAATGTAAAAAGAGGCAATTTCCTGGAAAAAATTTTTTTTTAATCATAAGTACTAATACAGCAGAGTTGCGACGGGCGACTAAAAAGAGAATTCAAAGTTCTTTTAAACGAGATTAATGTAAGCAGCTTTTTCTAGTACATATTTTTTTCAGTTTACTATTGAATACGAAGAAGCTGTATATCGGATCTATGTTGACCTTTAATGAGAAGTCAATTACTTAAGCAGTAGCGATTGAAAATTTTATTCTTGTTTTAACCCCTTGGGGACGGGAGATTCAGAAAAGCATTCGTACAAAATCAGAATCAGAACGTAATTAAATAAAAAACGGTAACTTGAATGTAATCGTTTATATTTTGACAGACTTACTTTGCTTTTACTTTAATTATTGTAAGTTTAATCATATATATAATCAATGTTAATTCAAAGTATAACTAAATAGTTTTATTTTGAACAAAGTAATGGTGATTTAAATAAATCAAACAATTATAACTCCGCCCACAAATAAACTGCTAAAGAAATACTTTGATCACCAGTTTTATCTTTTTACCCTGATTGATACGGTTTTATGCTGGCACGCATTTGTGACAGTCGGCGAGAAAGGGTTAAATATGAATAATTTGAAAAGTATGTTAAAATTGTTGTTGCTATTGAATAATTAAAGAAATTATTAACAAACAAATAACATTAAATTAATTGTTTATAAATTGTAATTTATTGTTTATTAATAAAAAAGATTTTAATAAACAATTAATAAACAAATATGAATTGAGTTTTAACCACTTTTAACAACATTTTTAGTCATCAGTCGCATCCCTGCGGTAGAAATGATTTTACTACCAGTTTTTTTTCCATTTTCCGTTTCATTTTCAAGTCAGCATTTAATTAGGATTATATAACCAATTTTAGGATTTTAACATATGCCCCATTTTGAGAATATTCTGTATCTTTCACTTAATAAAGTAACTTAATTCTTTCATTTTTATCATTAATTTTGAAAAATGAAGACGATTCTGACTACAGCTATATATTATTAACGTGATGAATGCCAAGCTAGTTTTACATGACTTGCCCGTCTGGCCAACGGGTACATTAGCTACAAACTAAATTTGCTAATATTAGACAGACATACCCTCCAACTGCTACGGAATTTCCGTAGTTTCAGAAATCTTCTTTTCTGACGGTAGCAAAATTAATGTCTTAATACTTAAAAAAAATTAATTTTAGCGTAACTTGTCCACTATTACTTATAAAAGTGCAGGCCATAGGGCTAGATTCTGAAGTCCTGATAAAAGTTATATGAGAGATCCATTTGCTTTAAAAATTTCTGCTTTGGTTCGCTACCACTAGAAAGAATTATTTTCAAAATCCTCATAAGTTGGAGGGTATGACAGATTTTGCTAGTTTTTTAAAAAGTTTAGCATAACATATTAGTTAAAAATTGTTAATTATATAAGTCTACTAATTGTTTAGAAATAGTGATGGATAAAAATGTACTAAATGGAATTTATTAAATCACGAATCACAATTAATAAACTATTATTTGAAAATATTTATTGGCTGTTCGTTGCAAGTTGGCATGTCTGTGTAGATAATCAAAACTATTTTTATGTGTTCTATATTGCATTAATTTTTTCAAACCATTTTAGTAACGGTAATAATCTAAGAAAAATTTCAAATTTACTCGGTTTATGTGTTTCTAATAATCTTGTCTTCGTCGGTCACCGGTGATCTCGTGGCGCTACGAACCAACTCAGTGCCGGTCACCGATGACCCCCATTGCATTCAATATGTTAACATTTAATTTTATATGGATAGAAAGGATATAATGTATATATCCATATAATTTTATATGGATACATACATTATATCAATAATAGATGCTACAGGCTGTTTTTAAAAAAGTGGCTGCTGCTAAAAACAGAGGTAACCCACATTGTTGAAGCACAAATATGTTTTAAGGAAGTTTTTTGCGTCACTTAAAATGTTTTCAGGAAATAGGTTAAAATAAGTTACTCCATCTAATACGGATTCCACGTATTATCAAAAAATATTTTCTCTGGTTGCTGTTCTTTTTTCTTTTTCTTTTTTTTTTTTTTTTTTTTTTTTTTTTTTTTTGTATGCCTGTTTAGGCAGAGGGGGTGCGATTGTTCTTGTTTCTCAGTTGCGCCATCTATGAGCAAGAATTCGACTTCTGACACATTCTCTGGGGGTAGCAAGAGTGATATTAATATTTTAATAAAATAGAATTAAAATAGTCGGTCTTACAAATGAATTTTCAAGTTCTTAAAGTTTAATAATTTGTTTAAAATATTCGGGTTTTTTTTTTCAAAGCAAGAAACTGTTTCAGTTTATTACCACTGAAAAGTAAATCGCAACAGCTTGAAACAGTTGGTATCTCTGGCTTAAACGTACTCTACGGTCAAAGCATAAAATTAAGTTTATTATATTTTTTTAGAAAACTAGATCCTATTGATGTAAATGCCGTTATGAAGTCTTATATTACTCAACTTATTGATTTATCAAAAAATTATTCAAATTATTGCAAACATGCCAGATAATAGAAACCAAAGTAGTTATTGCATCTATTTAGATAAGATCCGTGAAATAAATAAAAAATTGCGCGGTTATTGTTATGTTTTGCGTGTTACAATCGGGCATGAACTACTGATTACATTTGACCTTGAATACTTACTTTTGTTATTCATCTCTTCATAAAGGATAATTTGAGTTTGTTGTAGATAGATTACATCATCCAGTTGACAGATTTCTGTTGCTATAAACGATAGCTGCTCTCCGAAAAAAAGAGTTTGTTTTTAACAAAATATCGCTCTTATTTATTAAAATATGTTGGAGTTTAGCGTGTATACGTGGTTAATTATTATATTCACTTTGGTTATAGTTGGTATTACTGGTTTTTTGTGGTGAGTTAAATTTTTCATAAAAAATTTATTTTTATTAATAATTTGATTAATTTGTTTTGAAACATTATTTTTGAAACATAAGAGCATGTTTATCACAGTTCTAAACATGCTTGATCAGAGGAGTGGTTAAAAATTTAACTATTAGGGGGACCGGAAAGTAATGTTGTTTCGGCACATTAAATATTCGTAAGTCTTAAAAACCGATTCATTCTTTTTTATCCATTTCGATTCATTTTAAATCCTTCCTAGTTGGTTGTTGCTACCGATGGAGAATACATTGCTTATTAAAAATAAAATCTTAGCAACAAATATCAAAAATATCGAAACTACATTACTTTCCGGTCCCCCTAATATATCAACCTATCAGAACCTCGGTTTCTCACTCCCAAAATATAGGGGGCGAACTACAATCCGGAAAATATGATCCCAATAGTTTGGATAGGAGAGCCTTGATTTCATATTAAGAGGTCCAAAGTTTTGACCTCTTAATGTTAATTTTACTTTTTACATATTTCACTCTAGCTCCAGAACTTTCAAAACAAATTTAAAATTTTTTTTTTGCATAAAATTATAAAATTAGTTTATTCAAAGGTAGTGAAAAAATATGTTTTAGTTAATATTTATTATTTATTTTTATTAAGATTCATTTATTCATAGTCATTCAACGGAAAAAAATAATTTTTAATAAATATTCATTATGTTTCGTTTTTTTTATTTAATTATAGTTGAAAATTCTTGACTTGCAATTTTTTCATCATTTTAAGAAATGTAATATTACGTGGCAAAATATAAAATTTGAGCGAAATCGACCGAATTTTAAAAAAGAATTTGAGAAATTTAATTTTGAGACAGTCGCATTTTTCAGGAATTGTAGGTAATGCAGCAAAAAACTTTATATTCCTAATATGTTTAAGCCTTTTTATATAGCTATTTTCGATACGAAAGTTAAGTTGGCAAGTATGTGAATAATTTAACACGTCATTGTTTATTAAAGAAATTTGATTTTGACTTCGTTTCCTGCGAAGCATAACTACTTAAAGAACATATACAAATAATCTGTTAACCGTATAATTCAACTTTTGAGTGCTTACGAAATATAAGTTAAGAATTGCACAACCAGGAAAAATAAGCAAAGTGGTAGAGTAGGATTTTTTTTAAAAATGACATTACTATTTTATACCAATTAAAACATACAAGCAAATCAAAAGAGAATATCTAGATAAAAAAAAAAGTATGAACTTAATTTCCAAAATTAAAATGTTAAAATTTCCAACAGCCTTATCAGGAATCAATTATCACTTTATCTAAATATCTTCCTTAGCTATCGTCGCGTACAATTTACGCGTTTTGAGTAAATATTTATTTTTATATTTAGATTGGTAGTTAAATCTATTCCTTAAATTTGTTCCCTGCTTTTGTAAGTTTTTAACTATGAATGCACAACAAAATTTAAAAAAAAATTAAACATGTATATAAATACATGATAATGTCACAGTTGTGTGTAGGAAATTTTAAAAAATACTTAGTGTATTTTTTTCAACAATTGTGATTCAATTTATATGTTTTTACTACTGAGGAAATCTATCCTCCTAAAGACTGAAAGTTGGCAGATATATAATTGTGATTCAATTTACATGTTTATTACCACTGGAAAAATTATTCTTTCAATGGTTGTAAGATGGTAGATATTGTGATTCAATTTACATGTTATCACCACTAGAAAAACCTTCCTCCGAGAGATTGAAAGCAGGCAGATATGTAATTGTAATTTAATTTACATGTTTACTAACACTGAGAAAAATCTTGATTGCAGATATCTAAGATTGCAGATAACTATGATCCAATTTATATGTTGCTACTACTGGGAAAAATCATCCTCCGAAAAATTTATAAATTGGCACATATGTAACTATAATGAACCCTTTCGCGCCGACTGTCACAAATATGTGACAGCATAAAACCGTATCAATCAGGGTAAAAATATAAAACTGGTAATCAAAGTAGTTCTTTAGCAGTTTATTTGTGGGCGGAGTTATAATTGTTTGATTTATTTAATTCACCATTACTTTGTTCAAAATAAAACTATTTAGTTATACTTTGAACTAACATTGATTATATATATGATTAAACTAACAATAATTAAAGTCAAAGCAAAGTAAATCTGTCAAATTAGCAAAGACTGCATTTAAGTTACCGTTTTTTATTTAATTGCAACTTGATTCTGATTTTGTACGAATGCTTTTCTGAATCACCCGTCCCCAAGGGGTTAAACGATCACATCCAATATTGTGAGAAGCCTCAACTTTCAAATTGGTAAGTATGAAAAAAAGCAATACATTTAATGCCACTGTTGAAAAAATCTACCACAAAAGCTAACAGCTATATGATTTTCAAACTAGCAGGCCTGGAATCGATCTTCTTTAAAATGTATTTCAATTATTAAACCAAAATTTATTAAGACTAATTTGTTTTATATTTTTAGCCATCTCCTTTTCTTTCGGAAACTAAACGTGTTCAATCTTGTTTTTAGGTACATCAGAAGAAATGATGATTACTGGAAAATAAGAGGAGTAAAATATCAGCCTCGTCAAAGTTTGTTTACCATCATTAAAGAACTTTCTGCTTCGGTAATATTTGCTTTCATATTTTTCTCACGTATATGTGCTTAAAATCTAATATATATAATTCTCTTACGTGGCTCCCAAATTTTGGCTGTATTTCTTTTCCGCGGTGGCAACGTTTGCTTTGTTTTGTTTACGCTACTATTTCTCTTTCACGGCAAATCGACCAATGATTGCCGCTAAAAATGTCATATGCCAAATCTACTGAGGTGACTCAACATATAGCGCTTTTAAAAACGGAAACTGAAATAACCAGAGAGCATCACCTGCGGCAATCTCATACTATTAAGCTAAGCAGAAGTGAGTAGTCTTTGTTGATGGATCTTTCTTTTAGTATTTTGTCAAAAGCGCTTTTTTTCACGAATTTATATATTACGAATTTATTTGACGATTTTTGATTTATATCACGAATTATACTATAGCACATTTCTAATAGGTTTAACGAATTACATGTCATTTACTTGAATTCAAATTGATTTTAATAACTTAGTATTTACTAAAAAGTTTTTATATGGATTTGAATGATTGTTTTGAATTCTTAGAATTTTGTGCATTTGCAATGTACCTAAGTTAGTAGCGAGCGAAGCGAGCTTGGTTTGCGAAGCAATCCATATAAGATTGAGTAGCAATTTTCGGGGGTTGGCGAGCGTTAGCGAGCAGGGGGCGCAGCCCACTAGTTATATTTAAATTACCATGGCCATGGAAGAAATTGCGCATGTGCACTAGGGCATAAATTTTGATTGTTACCAAGCCTCACACCCCAAGCCTTTGTTTATATTGTTTATCGTTATAGTCAGATATTTTTTTGTGATACTCGTATTACAACATCTCTTCGCCTCCTCAACATTTGATGAAAATGCTGAACGATAAAATATAAATTCATTAAAAAAATCATGTAAAATTATGCTACTTAATTACAACCAAGCCGTTATCCCTATCCCCGTTTGTAATTTTTAATTTCAGATACTAACATCTTTAATTTTTTCCCATTCGGTGAGAGATTTTTCTCAAATATTTATAGTCTTTTTATTTTTGGTTTATAATAAATTTGATTTATAATTATTTTTAATCATTAAACATAAACGATTTAAACAAATAAATTATACGAGATTTGAGTGCAGTATAGTTTTCGATTGATGACGAAATTTAAAAAAATTAAAACTGATTTTTATTTCGCTACCACTCTAAATATTTTAAATAGCTTCGGTAATCGGGTTATCATTTATGTTGTTAGCTCTTAGCATTTATCCCTAAGTCGACAAAAACTTATCATTTGTTCACAGACAGGCTTTTGATGTAATCCTGTAATTTACTTTTTTTCTCCTCTTTACATTTAACAATCCCTGATGTCGTTTTATTAAATGTTAGCTAAATTTTTTTAAATGTTTAATTCTTTGCTGTTAAAGTTTAAAAAAAGAAGTAGTTTCAATCAACGTAACAAAGAATTCTAACACGTGTGTATACGATCGATTAGTTAGGAAGTTTACTTTTTAATCTTAGAGCAGTAACTTATATTTCAAAAATTTATCCTTTTTCTAAATATTATTTTGCTCCGACTTTGTTTGCCTTAAGGACGTGCAAGTTTACAGCTCCACTTATCTGTAAAAATAACTATTGATGTAAGGCGATGCAATCTGATGAAGTGTGACGCAACAACTAGAGTGACTAAGTTTTACTCTTAACACCGATTTCGAACTGATAAATTTTATTTTTTACAACATTTTGTAGTATTGCAAAAAGTTCCTTTCTGAAAGAAAAAAAAAGCGCTCGGAAATCAGCCTAAGCAAATAATGCGTTACAAGTTCAGTTTCAAAAAATGTGACGATCACTTTATATTTCAAAAATGCATGGGTTCGTGCCGTAAAGGCTCATGGAATAGAGAACTCGCTTCCCAATGAAGTGAACCGGGTTCGAATTCCGGCAATGGCTGATTGATTCGAATTTCGCACCCAGCCCGCATGGTGCGAAATTTACGCCACAGTGCTGACGTAAAATATATTCAGTGGTAGACGGATCATGGGTTAGAGCCCCTTTGATATCAGGCTAACCATGGGAAGTTTTAGCTGTTTTCCTCCCCATGTAAGGCAGTTCCATCTAAAAGTTTTCCGCGTAGTCTAATTTCTCCCTATACTTGATCCAAGTATTCCTTGACCTCTGCAGTTGGTTCAAAATTATAAGGCTACGAAGTTTATCGTTGGTAGTTGTAAATTAAAAATTCGACCGGCAGTTCAATGACGGTTATAGAAACATGCATATATTCAAATAAAAATATAGTTATATTACATGAACCTCTTACACTCTGATGTCATCTCTGAATAGGCATCGAAAATAGGCACTCTAAAACTTATTTTTTTTAATATCTTAACCCTTTTGTCCCGAAATTATAAATTGAAATGATACAAAAAGTGGTTTTATGGAAAAAGTGGTATAATATATTATCGAAATTAATAGGTTTTTCTACTGTTAGGGCATGCAAAAAGTCTTTGATAGATCTGAAAGCACTTGCTCCTTATAATTCTAGATCTAATCAGAAATAACTAAATCATTGTGGTATCTGAGAATCTTTTAATTCATCCAGATAAATGAAAATACTGAAAAAAGTTTCCCACCACAATGAAAGTCTTTGAAAAAAGGAACTGTCCTAAATATATAAGACGCAGGGCGTTAACCGGTTAATTTGTTAGCAACCACATTATATTATGAATTTTCGAAATAATATGAAGATATTGAACTACGTAGTTTATATTAGTTCAAAATGAATATTAAATGAGGGTTGCCAATTGCCCCGCTTTCAGCAAAAGCAGAGATGCCAACTGCTCCGGACACGCCAAAATAATTAAAAAAACGGTAAAGAACTACAAAGTAAATTTTGCAAGTATTTGATTTTTTTTACTTGCTTCTTAAAAGGTATAGTATGACATAAGTACTATAAAGTGGTGAATTATATAAGCCTGCGAATTATTTAGAATTAGTGTTGTATAAAAATCTACTAAATTGAATTTATTAAACCAAAAATCACAATTGATAAACTACCACTTTAAAATATATATATGCTGTCCGGAGCAAGTTGGCATCTCTGGCAAAAGTTTTAATAAATTAGTAGTGAAGTAATTTGTAATACTTGAAGAAAGAGGATAATTACTCCTTCTTTTTAAAAGAGTTACCACGAGATAAATAAAATACAGTTGTATCAATTTTAATATTTAAGATGGCAGCAGAGATTTTAAATTATAAATTACGCTTCTTGTTTAAAATATGTTTCTTGTTTACATTATAAGATAAATTTAACATATAAAGATCCTAATCACAATAATAAATCGCTGATATAAAACATTTTTAAAACACTTAATATCCATTGAACGAAGCTTATTTTATTTAAGCAGTTGCTCAAACTGGGAAATGGCCATTTGCTTTATTAATTATATAATCCCTTGCTTTCAAACGGACTTGAAGAAAACACTATCACCTATAAATTACCGTTGAAAAAAAAAGATATGTTTATTCGGATAAAGTACGTTTTTGTTTCTGATTTCGTTACATTAAATATCGTTTTGCACTAATTAATAAACATATTTGAGGTCACTACCTTGAACCATTGGGATGGAGTTTTGGATCGTAAAGACACGATCATTAGATCAAAAGTTATTCAGGGTGATCCGTTCTTTTCGCGCACTTTACATCAAAATGTCTGCGCTACTTACTTTCAGCTGTTTTGATAGATTTTTGCTTAAATTAGTTCATTATTTGTATATTTATTTTCACAGACTTTACCCGAACTAATAAAGAAAGGCTACGCTGAATATGGACGAGTTTATGGGTGAGTTTACCCTTTTTATAGCCTTTCTTTTCTCCTAATGCTGTGATAAAATATTTTTGCTATTTAGAGTGATTTATAGAAAGAAATTTGCTAAGCCTACTACCCCAAAACTATTATGATTTTTCAAAACCATTTTTGGTGGGGTAGTGACTAGGGTTTTCAAATTTTTTCCTTATTGTAAAGAATTGGTCATGAACTCGAATTTCCGTCCTTATAAGTGACGGAATTTATAAGTTCCTTGTCTATAAATAGAATTAAACTTGATGAAAATACATAAAATGGAGGAACGCATAACGCTCAATAAAAAATAGCTCACCTGCGTTTCCCTTTAACATGACTCACTTTACATAATAAAAACCATTCGTTTATTTTTGATAATTACTTTTTAAAGTTCTCAGCAGATGGCAAATCTTGGAGAGAAAAAAACATCTGTAGTTGAATAATTTTATTTTTTGCCGCAAGGAGTACAATGTTCAGATAACCACGCAATATTAAACTAGGAAAATCTCCGGTTTTTAGCCAGCGAATTTGACAGGTCCGTTTTTTATACTTTCATCAGAATTTAAGGGAATGACTATTTGTCTTTTCAACCATTATCGTATCAATTTGAATTATTTATATCCATAGGTGGATAAAATACTATTAATTATAATTTTTTTTTAATATTAATACATTAAATCAGCTACCACTTAGAGAAATATTTTCTGAAACAACGGAAAATTCGTAGCAGTTGGAGGATATAATTATCCAGGTTTAAAAGGTGATGAATAAAATTAAACAATCGCCGTTTGTTCAATAAATATGTGCTCATCACTAAATCTTAGACTTTTTAAGCGAAATATAAATGCATTAAAACGAATAAGCCTTCATAAGCGAGCGAACCAAGCAGATCTCAGCCGGTAACTTAAGTGTGATGAACCCAGAAACGAGTGGTATTACCATTATACCGCCGTTATCATTATAACAGAGTCGCAGACAAGGTTGTTGTCAGGCTATCTATCGTTCACATAACCTCTTCTTTGTCGTTATTCTAATCTAGTTTAACCTCAATTATGTTTAATTTCCTATCGATTTCTTCATATGTTCAACCGATTGGTTTCCCACTTATGACTTCACTATTTGGTGCTTGGCAACCACATTCCACCATTAGATGTCTCAAAAATTCGGCTTATCAGTTAACAAGTAGAGTGCCGCGTTAGCCATCGGTGTCTCACACTGGTCTTTCCATTTAGGCCGCGTCAACCACCGGTGGCTGACACTGAAATTACATTTGGGCCGCGTCAACTACCGGTGGCTGACACTTAAATTACATTGAGGCTGCGTCAACCACCGGTGGCTGACACTAAAATTACATTTAGGAGCCACAAATTTTTTTTCGTAAGAACACAAGGAATTCATATGTCCAGCCTTAACATTAAATCGTTGAACGCCACGCTAATTTTACATGGCTTGTCCGCCTGGCCAAACTGTAATTAACTAAAAACAAAATTTTATACAAATTTTGCTTGTTTTTAAAGGTTTAGCATGACACATACGGAAAAAGTGATGAACTATATAAGACTACGAATTGTTTAAAAATAGTGGTGGATAAGAATCTACTCAATTGAATTTATTAAATCAAGAATCTCAATAATTAAGTAAATTTTAAATACATTTTCTGCAATTCCATAAAAGAGAGTAAATTTTATATTTCTATATCACGCTATACGCTGTCAGCCTGCTGTTTTTCGCGGCCATTGTGAAAAGTCGGTGTCAGCAAGCGGCGGCAGACGCAGAATAAATGTAATTTCAGTGTCAGCCATCGGTGGTTGACGCGGCCTAAATGAAAAGTCCAGTGTGAGCCACCGATGGCTGATGCGGCGTTCAACGTGTTAAATTCTAGGGCTTTCAAATGATAATGATTGATCGAATTTCAATAAATATAGTGTCTTGGCGATTTTACGAGCTGTTATTCGCAGGTTTGTATCAATTAATGCCTTAATTATGTATTCATTAGCTTAAACTGCATATCTTAATCGAAATTTTGAAATCCAATTATGACACTGGCGTTCTGCTAATACATTTTATCCCTAAATATCGGATAATATTTAAAAAAGAAATTTTTTTTTCTTAAACCACATTTTCACCTTTTCGATATCAAAAAAATTGTTGTGAATTCCGCTTTTCACTTTCCATAGAAGGTCAGCTACCGAAACTTCCCGCATGGAATTCTATCGTTTTTTGACTGTTGTCGAAAGAATTTGTAAAAATTTCAACCTCTTTCTGAGCAAGTTATGAAATTGTAGGTAAAGCTCTGTGCTTAATTCCAATCAAAAACGCTCTATCAGTTCTGCTTTTGTTAGATTAAAGACAAAATAGAAGTAGGGCGCCTTTACTTTTGAAAGAGATGGAAAGCAATCTTTCAGTGATGATAACAATACGAAGGCGATGAGCCCGATAATTTTCGTTTTTAGTCTGATAAATATAGAATCTCCCCCCCTTTTTTCAGTTTTGTTTTTAATAATTTATTTTTAAAATCTTATTTTTACAGGATTTTTTCGTTTTCGCAACCGGCCATTACGATTGCCGATCCAAAACTTTTGAGAGATATATTTGTGAAGGATTTCAATTACTTCAGCCACAGGCAGGTTAGTCATACATTTTTTTCTTCTCGACCATTAAATGCACTTTTTTTTAGAAGAAATATGCATTTTTTTCTTCATATTCGGATTTATTACTCCCAAACTAGGGGGTTGTCTTTTACAGTTAAACCGCTATACTGGTTCAAAAGTAAATTACTCTAATGTTCTATTAATGGGTTACGTTTCTGTTCGTATTTCTTGAATGATTAGTTAGTTCTGGCTGCGGAACCCTAAAAAAACGACCTTCTTTTTTCGACTTCATGAAAGAAGTTCATTAGCTGTAAGATATTACTTGATTGAAAACTTTCTTCGATTTAAAACTATACAAATAACAGTCGACAGGTTTCAAGAACTTCAAAAATAGGCGACCATTTTTAGGACTTGCCAGGCGTAAATGGGAGGAAACAAAAATTATTTAATATTTAAGAAGAAAAGAACGAACGTTAAGTTGCCAACAAAGAATAGAAAGATAAAAGTTACAAACAAAACTCGAAAAACCACTGTGGCCGAGATTGATAAAGATAAAAAACGGAACAAGAAAAATTACGGTGGTATAGGGGGGGGGGGACAAATTGCACTCCCACGCGTTATGGAGAGGTGGGAAGAAACTAATGTCGTTAACAAGGGCAGCATCATATCATAAACAGCACCATATTATTCATTCATGTGAATTATATGGTGCCTGGAATCTTGTTTAGATCTATCTTAGAGGGTTATTCATATGAATGCTTATTCTCCTATTAAGGATATATCAATTTCTCCTCATCTCTTCATAACGAGTGGAAATGTATTTTACCCTGATTTGATTTTCTCGGCAACTATAATTATTTTTGTTTATTTTTATCTTTTACTCTCTTTCTACTGCGATTTTTCTAATGTTATTTTTATCTTTTTTGTTTCTCATCTTCATTTTCCCCTTTATCATTGGCAACTTTACTTTTTTGTATTTATTTTAAATTACTTTTTTTTCTCATTCACGTCTGGCAAGTCTTGAAAATGAGCGTCTATTTATGATGAGCTTGAAACATGTCGACTGTCATTTTATATTTGTATATTTTTGAAGAAAATGAAGTTTTCAATCAGGTTAAGCTAATTTGTTTGTTTTTAATGACGAAGTGGTCAATTTTTGTTAATGAATGTGCTTTCAAAAAACTTTTACGTTTCGGATAAATAACAAATAATACATTCATAACACACGATATTAGGAAAATGTTGTTAAAAAATTGATAACCTCTGGTTTATTGTAAATCTTATGGCTTTCGCTCAGCGGGATGCTCAAGTGGTAATTTAAATTATGGGTTCGTATTCTCGTATATTTCATTCTGAGAAAAAATGTTTGATGCTTTATCTTATATATTTGTTTTGGTTTAGATCTCTTCCATAGCCTATAACATTTGAAACTATTGAGGAATGTTCTTCAAGTGGAACTGAACTAAACCAGAAAGTTTTAAAATACGTAAAATATTAATAAAAATTTTATTCGAAATTAATTCTGAAAAGTGGTTTTTATATGAAAAGTATTTATTCGAAAAAGTTGTTGTCCATATTTATTTACACCAAGAGGATGTTTTCTGTTTTTTTTTTTAGATTTTAAAAATCCCAAAGCCTGGTCTGGTCTGGCTGGGCTCCTGAGGTCAATAATGGCCCTTTTCCCATTCATCCTGTAATGAGAACTTCAGCAAAAACAATAGACAGATTACATGAAATGCGACAAATAATGGTACATGTTAACCCGTTTTGTCCCGAACATTGAAATTATACAAAAAGTGGTATAATATATTATCGAATTTAATTGGTTTTTCTACTGTAAGGGCATTGAAAAAGTGATTGATAGATCAAAAAGTACTTGCTCCTTATAATTCTACATCTAATCAGAAATAACTAAATCATTCTGGTATCTGAGAATCTTTTAATTCACCCAGATAAATGAAAATGCTGAAAAAAGTTTCCCACCACAATGAATGTCTTTGAAAAATGGAACTGTATTTAATATATGACGCTGGGCGTTAACCGGTAAAGGTGGGAAAAAAATGACACTTTCATACCTGCCAACTTTTAATCCCTACCATTATTATTTTTCCCAGTGGTATTAAAATGGAATTAAAACTTCAATTTTAAGCAAACAAATACGTTGTATTTGAGAAAACTTATGTTGACAACCATGACAGTAACGCATATTAATATATGTGCTTCATTTTTGTAAGAATAGTGGTGATCAATATCAATTAAAAATTAAGATTATAAAAGAAAAAATAGTGTATAATTACTACCACTTTAAATATGAAAATAAAATCTTCCGGAAAATTCGGAAGAGTTGGCAGGTATGCACTTTGCCATTTTAATAAGTAACAAATAGTTGAATGTATAGAAAAGGACAAGACATATTTTCAAGTAGGGAAAATATTTGCAAATAAATGGGAAGATTTAACTAATATTCATTATGAATAACGTTAAGTTCACAATAACTTCTGTTAAATTAGAGACCTGACAGTCCTGGTTGTTACCACTCAAATCGGGTCGCTTTTGACACCAAATTTTACACGGAAAAATCAAATTATAATTATTATCATTTCGATCAAATTATAAATATTTATATCGTTGATATACGGTGGTAGATAGAACTACCTTGTTTTTGTTAAATAAATACTTAGGGGCCGTTCAAAAAGTACGTACATCCCGAAGGGGGGGGAGGGGATTTGCTATTATGTACGGTTTTGTACGATGGGGAGGGGGGGAGGTATTATACAAAGTACGTACTTTATAAACATACACCAAATTTAAATTTGACTTTATCCTACACCCTCCTTAAGTAAATATTTAATTTTATTTAAAACATAATTATTTTAATTTTTATGAAAAAGGGGGGTAGACTAATAAAATGTACGTACTCTAAGGGGGGGGGAGTAAGACCTTATGTACGGTAATGTACGAAGGGGGGGGGGAGGGGTTTAAAATTTCTCCATTTTTGTGTACGTACTTTTTGAACGGCCCCTTAATAGAACACCTATGATAACATTTATCTTAAATACAGAAACACGTGCCAACTTATACGCATTTGGCATGAAGCTTTACTTCCATATTTAAATTGGTAGTAAAGTGTATGCTTTCTGTATTTTTCTCGCATTTATAAACTTAATTTAATTTATAAACTTAATCAAATGGTATTGGAAAAATAAATCGACTATTCACATTCTGATCTTATTTCGGTAGATTAAAATTTCACATGGCTAAAAAAAGCAGCCTTCTCTGAAAGCTTTAAGCTTGCTCTTTCAACTTGTGTCAACAGTTTTTCCGTCTAAAATCTTCCAATATACTTGCTGCCAAAAGTAAAATTGTTTCCATAGAGTTATTACAAAAGTGTTTCCATTATTTGGATCGATCCCGGTACATTCACAAATAAATCTATAAATTATTTTTAAAATATGTAATAGGAAAAATTAATTTTTTTCATCGTTTTATCAAATATAGTCTTAAAATTGAACCCTTTCGCTCCGACTGTCACAAATACTTGCCAGCATAAGACCGTATCAGTCAGGGTAAAAAGATAAAACTGGTAATCAAAGTATTTCTTTAGCAGTTTATTTGTGGGCGGAGTTATAATTGTTTGATTTATTTAATTCACCATTACTTTGTTCAAAATAAAACTATTTAGTTATACTTTGAATTATCATTGATTATATATATTATTAAACTAACAATAATTAAAGTAAAAGCAAAGTAAGTATGTCAGATTAGCAACGACTACATTTACGTTACCGTTTTTTATTTAATCAAAACTTGATTCTCATTTTGTACGAATGTTTCTCTGAATCACCCGTCCCCAAGGGGTTAATGTTATGTCTGACCGATGACCTCCCAGGCATTTACCTGTTTTCATTACTTCTAACTTTGTTTTTGGAGTTTTGGATATGTTTTGAGAGTTGGTTTTGGTTTTTTTTTAATAGTTTGGTGTTGCTTCCCGTCAGTCGAAAAAGAATTATACATTTACACTTAATATCTTACGGTGCAACTTGATTGTGGCCAGAGCATAAAGATTAGACCTATGCAAGCTGACCAGCATTTACGCTTTTTAAAACTGTTTTTTATTCCTATTGAAGGATTAGATATTTAACGATGAAATTCTGAATATGAAAGAAAAGCATTTGAGTCTGATTCTCAGTTTTGTGTTTGGTCTAAACTGCTCTTTATTCCTATTGTAATATCAGACAATTAACATTAAATTTATGGATATAAAGAAAATATTTTTAATTCGAATCAGTAGGGCTAAGTTTGATTACACTAGGGAACATTTTTTTTCCTGTTACATGATATGTTTTATAAATCATAGATGATTTCAAATCTGCACTAAGGAGTCGTGATGGCTCAAGGTATAAGAGCGTTTGCCTTCCAATGAGGTGAACCGGGTTCGAATTCCGGCGTTGGCTGGGATACGAATTCCACATCCGGGTAGCAGCGAACACAGTGCTGACGTGAAATATCATCAGTGGTGCACGGATCATGGGTTAGATTCCCCTTGTCATTCTGCTAACCGAGGGAGGTTCTCGTGGTCTTCCTCTCCATGTAACGCAAATGCGGGTGAGTTCCATCAAAAAATCCTCCACGAAGGAAAATTTCCCCCAATACTTGATCCAGGAGTTCCCTTGTCTTCTGGATTAGGTTCCAAATTACAAGGCTACGGAGTTGAACATTAGTAGTCGTAAACCCAAAATTGGGTTTACGACTACTAATGTTCATCTGTACAATGTACATTGTCTGTACAACGACTGTTATTAAAAAAAAATCCGCAATAGGTGTCACTCTATTAGCTACAGTTTTTGAGGTAAACTAAATATTCCAACTAAGACTTTTTTCTTAAATTCACCAGAGTGACTATTAGTAGCAGATCTGTCAAATACTGCGCTTTTTGCAACATAGTTTACAGAGTGATGCACATTTAAAAATCAAAGTTTTCAGAATATTTTGGTAATTTTGCCAATGTATTGAATGCCTTACCACGTAATATATTTAACAAAGTGGCCTTGTATATGAACTTTTAAGTCATTTATATGTAGTGGTGTGCAAAATAAGTTTAAATGAATAAAACATAATACATAAAACATAAACTTAGCTACCACGACAATAAATTTTTTACAAAAAGCGTGGAACAGTTGGCTGCTTTGCTAATGGTCCCCACTAATTTGGTATACAACTCGTGGTAAGAAAGAGGAGATATAACATATCAGTTTATGATGCGGTCGAATGTCTTTTGTCTTAAATGTTATTTTCAAAGGAGCAGATAAGTGTATACTTTGTCTATATCAAGAACTCCCCTAGTTATCCATCTTGAATGATTGCGGTGACTATGGTTATCATGTTTAACTATTTCAAGTAGGGGAGTTTGGTCATTATTCGAAACTGATTTTAACTCGGCTCTGCAAGTGAAAGGGTATCAGGGGGAAAAGAAGCTCCCCTCTTTGAAATGCGCTACTTCTTGTTTCCATACCAGCAGGCGGCCTTAGACTTCACGAAGAGGGGTGTTTTTTTTTTTCTATAGATTGACTATATATGTATGTAAATAAACCCACACGTTGCTTATAAACTTTCACAATCAGGGAAAAAATAAACTAAATTGGAGCATTACCATTTCGATAAAGAAAAAAAAATCTGTAGTTTTCCATACAACGTTACTTTCAGTTTTGAAATCCCCACTCCTGAATCAGGAATCACCTGCATGAAAGTGATAAAAAATTTGTTTCCATGTTTTTTATAATTATTAATTACAAGTTTTTCAAAACTCCTTTCGTCTCCAATTTTAGGATCAACTTTTTAACGATAAAATTCTGGACAACATGGTCTCCGTTCTGAAAGGAGAAGATTGGAAAAGAGTTAGAACTATCATATCTCCTGCATTTACTTCAAAACAGATGAGAAAGGTACGCAACACTTTTGAAAAATATATTATAAACTAATTTCTATTAATTTTGTCAAATATTTCTAACAAAAAAATTTAGTTATTAGTTTCAAATTTTATCCAAAGAAATATTTCTTGTGGTTCCAGGTATTTACTACTCATTTCGGATGATTTTCCGGCTTCTCAAATTTTATACTTTTGGATAAAAAATATTTCGTAAGTTATCCGCAGTTGGAATCCATATAATTTAGTATTTGCCTTTCAAATTCGAACGCCACAATTAGAAATTATTTTAATTTAATGAGACTAAGGAAAATATTTTTGCAAAAAAATCTTAGTATTTCTCTTTTGCAAACTTTTTTTTTAAATTGCGGGCACTTGGGATCTATTATCCCATTGGCCAGGAGTGCCAGAACTGCTACTCTCTTTTCGTTACCCAGTGGGCACCTGTGGCGAAGCCACAGTGGAGGAGCAGCGTCGCCCACGTTACACAACCACAAACTCGTTTATAGGGCGGGTCACATATTCACACAATCACACAAAGGAGAAAGGACATAGAACACAGAGAGAAAGAAACATCCATGCCCTGAGCGGGATTCGATCCCGCAACCATCGGCTCCACAGTCAGGCACGCTAACCACTCTGCCACCTGGTCGGCCTCTTTTGCAAACTACAATTTGTTAAAATGTGTAAAATTCACAATGTAAGTTTTTGCATGTGGACGTGCCAAGAACATAATCTAAGAAAATCAAGAAAAAGAATTTTTTTTCACTAGTTTCATGTGTAATTAATAATAGTCATTTATAATCGCCATATAATATAAATCACAAATAAATTGTACACTTTTTTATAGATGGAGAATATCATCAACGGTTGTGCCAAAACTGTGCTAAAGACGTTTGATAAACATTACCGAAATGGAGAACCGATTGACTGCAAGGCGTACGCATCATTTCATTTACTACATAATGTTTTTTTTTTCAATTTTGTATAGTGGTAGTTAAAAAACAATTTGCTGTTTTTTATGGTGCTCATGAATTCTCAAATCGCAATATTTAAATATTTTACATGGTCCTTAAGTCAAAAGAAGGCACTTGCAGTAATTTTAGATATTTCAGACCAATAGTAACAACACCTTCAAGGTTATATATTAAGTTGAGTTCGCCACAGTAAGGTACTTACCAGCTTACATGAGAGCATATAAAGTGAATATAAAGTCACGCTAAAATGAGTGCATTCAGGACAGAGCTAATCAGTGCGATTTTTCTGCGACAGAAAATGATCGTAATAAGGGTATTTATCGTCAAATGATTGTTGACTATGGAATTACTGCATGAGTTCAATGGCTGTGAACAAATTAAAGGTATTCGTAAAATACATAGTACAGTCGGCAAAAAAAAAAAAGATAT